TTTTTAAAAAAAAAAAAAAAAAAAAAAAAGGAAAAAAAGAATAGAAACTGAGTCAAAACTTTTTGTTGTGTAACTAATTGGTCAACTCATTTAGATATTTTTATGGGCACCTGCTATCCTGCTTTTGCTAGTTAGGAACTTTTCTTTGGCCAATCAAATAATGAACTGGTTTGTTGTCTCAATAAATTTCTGCATAATTTTTGTTAGCTACTAAAGAAAAAAAAATGATGAAATAATTAGTTAAGTTTCAGTACTTGTTTTTGCCAACTTTTTTTATTAGCTTGGCTAACCTTTATCTTTCCTCTAGGTTCTTGGGCGAAGAAGTTTATAATTGTTGTCAATAAAGTTTATCCTTCAGAATTTCATTCAGCTGTTCAGAAGTTCTTTGAGGTATCTTCAGGAGCATTTATTTTCATTTTTGTATTGAACTATATATATCCTTTCTTCTTGATGCCTTATTGTTTTGATCTGCTAACAGGATGCAAAATTGCAACATAAGATTGGGGGCTCTGTATATGAGATTGTGTGTAATACTTTAGATGGGAGTTGTGATATGTCGCTGCCTATTTCAGATTCAAAACTTTTGTTTGCTTTGCATCATCCTAAGGTATAGTATTATAGTGCACTCGCCTTGTCTTTAATTTTTTTATGACTTTATGCGCATGTGGCTTTGTTATTGTTTTCAGTTTGAAGGTATCGTGTTCGAAATCTGAAAAAACCCATATGAATACTTTTTCATCTTATGTAGCATATATTGAGTTTTATGGTGCTTTCTTTGTGTTATAGGCTGAGGTTCGTCGTGCTGCTCTTTCGACTTTGAGCACGGCAGGAAATTTGAAAGCTAAAACCGATCATTTAGAGGTAACATATACATATATATTTTGCTATAATTTGTGAGCATGGGAGTGGGGAATGAGTCAAACCATGGTGACCATTTACCTAGGATTTATTAGGAAGGAAGAAAACTAGGGAAGCTCTTGGGAGGACATTTCTTATAATTTGTGTTCGATAAGGCGTCTGAGACTTATTAGATTATAGATAGCTGTAGCAGAAGGATGTTGTGTGAACATCTTAAGGGGCTGTTAGGCAGTTTTATCCTGATTATAGGAGAAATAGCTTCTTGAGGTCAATGATTATAATGATCCAAATTGTACAAGCCTTGGTAGAATGATGTGCTATGCTGTTGGTTCATCATTGTTTGTAATTTTACTTGAATGCTTCCAATTTAATGTAATTAAGTTTAGCTAGTTGGGTTGATAACTGTATCTGTTAAATGTTAATGTGCTTTTCATTTGTTTACATTTTTAGTTACCATTGAATATAATTAAGTTTGGCTAGTCGGTTGATGAGTCGATCTGTTAAATGTCAATGTTCTTTCATTTTTTTTACTTCAAAATTAATGTTTACTAGCAGCAGAAAGTTTCTGCCAACTAGTTAAATGGTAGTTTATCTGGGAATGCTTTTGTTAACTTTCATTGTTGACCATATATTCATGTTAAAATCGTCCATTTCTCTTTTTTCTTTTTCTTATTGAACAGAGTTTAGTGACTGTTCAAGATGCCATCTTGAAACTACTTCAGGATGATGACCTTACTGTTGTTCAGAAAGCTATCACTCTTGATGGAATCTCTGACATATTGAGTTCATCTGTTCTTCTCAAAGCATTAAAGGACGTGCTTTTTAGATGCATTGGTGTTTTGAAGTCTGGTATGATTTTCTAGTTAGCTTGAAAATTTTCTATATGCATCATTGCTAGCTATTCTGGATATGGCCTTAACGTACTACCCTTTCAAGAACACAAAAGCCCTATTATGGAAAAACCTCATCATGACTTTCTTTTGGAATCTGTGGAAAGAAAGAAATCAGAGAATATTTGCAGAAACAACACATACCTATACAAAACTTTTCGACAATGTTGTTTACCAAGCTATATCTTGGTGTAAACTGTCTAATATTTTTACTTCCTATAGTTATACCTCCCTCATTGTAAATTGGGAAGGTCTTTTGTAAACATCATGGATTATACATCCCTCTGGTAAATTTCACTCATCAATGAAATTCTCTTATAAAAAAAAAAAAAAAAAATCATTGCTAGCTATTCGGAAGAATTTCACATTTTTATTTTCTTTTGTCTATTAGTTTCTTATTTTGGAGTTGTGTATAACATGTCCGTGCACTTAAAAAATTTTCAATACCCAAACTTTCTTTTTTGTATCCAATAGATTGTCTCATAAGTTTTTCCAAGCTTTCAATGATGTGTCTAGCAGGTATCTAAACAAGTATTTGATAGGTTTTTGAACCTTCAATTTTGTATCTAATAGTTCCCTGAGTTGTAAGTTTAAAGACTTGTTAGAATCATTTTTTTACCTTAACTGGTTTATTAAAAATAAATTTTAAGTGTAGGGACCAAACTAGATTTTATTTTGTATGTTCTACTTGGAGATCTTCTTAAGGGAAACATAAAATATAAATGAAATAACAATGGGCTTTGGTTTGACTACATTTTAGAATTTATGCTTTGTTTCTCAAGGTTTTGAACGATGGATAACCGCTTTCAATTTTATGCTCTAGCTTATAGGTTTTGTATAAGGTTCTATTTGTGGCTTCATTGTGCACTCTGTTTGTACCCTGAAAATGTGTCGTTTCTTGTACTCCTAGTTTTGTGCCCCTTATTAATACACTCAAGACCCGTCCTCCTTTTAATAAACTTAATTTAAATTCAATGTGCATTGTGTGTTAAAGGAAAACTATTTTTTCTTCTGATAAGGAAGATGGAGCTATATTTCTTAATTTAAACTGAGGTCCAATTGAAATGGGATAATGAAAGTTTTACGATGTTGTAAAATTTTAAATCAGATTCTTAGAAGTATTTTTTATGTTTTGTAAAATAGAAATAATTACATTTTAATCTAAACTCAATATTTCAAAGGCATAATTGTTGAGGGTCGTATCTTTTCATAGAATAGTTTATTTTAAAGATCAGTAGGATTTCACTTTCTGCATGCAGAGTAAGTAAAGTTTTGTGAGCTTTAGAAGCCACGGGATATGCATTTTAATTTAAATTGAGAAGTTTTTCTTACCTTCGGAATCACCTTGTGCTTGCAGGTCTGTCAGCTAATAGTAATCTTGCTGCTGACATAGCTTTTGAATGCTTAAACAGCCTGAAAGAGTATCTCTACGATCACGTTGATGATCTGCAGATGTTTTTTTCACTTACGTTTCCTTTACTCCTAGTTTTACCCAAGGTTTGTAGCGTTGCTGCCTAGAACTTGCATCTTTGAACTACTTTTAGCCTATGATGGGACTAATTAATTTAGGTAGCTTCTCAAATAAATTACTTGGGTTTTTATGCTTCTGTGTTTTTTGTGCTAATCACAGACTAAGAGATTGAATTTGAAGGCTTTGAAATTGGCCAAGGAAATAAAGTGGCCTTTTTACCAGAATCTTGCTGGTGTCAACACCGATATGGTTAGTACTGCTCTATTGGATTGAGTTTTGTTTTTATTTACAGATAATTCAGCAAGAATATTCTGGCTGTGTTCTTCGGAGCTATGTGTTGAAATTTTATTCCTGGATGGTAGTAATTAGATTTTGGAGATATCTTCCCACCTTATTTAACTTGGTGCTCCAGAATATTGAGTTTAGATTTACTCAGATGTCTGGGCTTAAGAAACTATGCTTTTTCGTCATTTCTCTCCTTTCGTTTCTTTTTTTCTATAAGAAACCATGGTCTTTTTTGCTTCTTGAATTGAAGTTATTTAAAATTTATGGAATTTTAAGCTTTAGAACCAAAGTAAAGTATCATTAATGAGTAATTGGCTTGAAGCCTGAAGGCGTATATAATAGGCAAAAAACAAAGTTAGTGTATGACAAGTTATAGAAGATTCAGCAGCATTTTAATCAATCTAAGGAGTGTTTAAATCATGAACTAAGAAATAAATAAAAAGATATAAGGGTTACGGTATCATTTCCACATTTTTTTGGTGTCGAAAAGTGTCTGGTTTTCACAGAAATAGTATTTACTTTATGATATTAATTTTTTTTTAATTTGACAATTTGAAGGCAATAGAAGTGCATCATTTATACTTTGTACTTGAAACATCAAATGCTTAAAAGATTTAGAAACATATCACCTTGATCTTGTTCCTTTCAGATTATCCCTAATTACTTAATATTTTTAATAAGAAAAAAAATGTATTCATTGATAATTTCTATGGATCACAAAAGCACATTTCCGATTTGACGGGTAGTAATAACAAATGTATCCATTGTTAATTTCTTTTTTTAATCACAGGCCTCGCAGCGTGGCAACATTAGCTCAATGAATATGGATGTTGTTAATAATTTGGCGAAGTCATTCTTGTTACATCCAGAGGAATATACTCCTTGGCTGATTGAGAGTTGCAAAGCTTGTGATTCTTCCAGAGTACTCTTTCTCCTTGTCGTGCTGCAGTCAACTGTCATGCAAAAAGACAGTAGGATCTCATTCTTTATTTTTTTCTTTACATACTAAATTTCCTTTTCTTTCTTTAAGTACGGATGCAGGTTTTACTGACACGTGGCTTTCTAGTGTTCTTCTTTCATTCCTTTGGTTTAAATTATATATGATTTTTGATCACTATGATGTTTTCTTTATTTTGATTTTGATTTTTTATTTTTCCCATTGTAGGTAACACCCAATTTTGGAGCTTCTTTGAAGTTATTTTCCCTATTTTGAAGATTGAATGGGACGTGTATGAGTCTACTTATGGTGCTTCTATTGATAAGGTACTGTTGTTTTCTTCAATTAATTGATTTAGAACTGACCTTTTCTCTTTGAAATACAAAAGTTGTTTGATTTTGTTGCTTTATTTAATATTCTGTTATGTTTTGTTTTTATTGAATATGTCCTGCTATTGTTGTTGGCAGTTCAAAACTGAAATGTTAGATTGGGACTGCAAAAGATTCCTGGATCAGTTAGTTAAAGAGGATCACAATGAATTGAATGCTGTTGCTCTTATTTGCATATTTTGGAGACTGTTAGATGCATATATATCGTCTGTGAATGCAGATATGGTTCTGGTTAGTGGATTGGCAGTGATTTGGTAGCTTAAATTAATTTGATGAGATGAGTTTTTACGACTGATATCAAGACAATTTTTTGCTGCAGGAGAAGAAGGAAAAATGGATTTCCATGTTCAGTGATTTGTTTGTGTTGTTTGCAACCTCACGATCTAAGCATGTCTTCAAGGAACATCTCCATTACCTTGTCAGAAGCTTCAAGATATCTCCTGTTCATTTGCTGTCTCGTTTTTTCACTGACGAAGGTGCTCTTATTTATTTTATTCAACTTTTTTTTTTTTGTTGTATTGGATGATTGACCTTGAAAATATTTTTACATACCATATACCTCAGAAAATAAATTCGAGTTTCTATTTCTCAGCATGTTGATTGTTTATCAATACAATTTTGTTTCTATTTCTTGTAATTATTTTGTAGCAAGAGTCATCTTTTTCGGTGATAATGTAGCTTGTTATATGGCCGATGTGTTATCTTTGTGTGGTAGGTTCAGGAGTTCGTTATTTCATTTATAAAGTTTTGTAAATAATAATAAGTATGAATATGGAAATTCTTGCCAGTCTGAGATATAGGTACAGAAATTATCGTTTTCCCTTTTGTATATTTCATTTATCACTGAGATCTTTGTTTTCTCTTAAAGAAAAAGAAAAAAGATATAGGTAGGGTATAAAGTGGTAAGTAGAAAGCTTCTGTTGTTATAAGTGAGTAGGTTTTAAACTTCTGTTTTTTATTAAAGAGAAATTATACAATACCCAAGGTGTGTTAGTGGAGGCTTTTTTGTGGCTGCTGCAAAACTACTTGGTCTAACGCCCTTATGCTGGAGAAACAAATGATCTTTAGAAGGGTGGTGAAGGAGATAAGTACCTTTCTTCTGTCCCTAGATTACTGGGTTTCTAGGAGTGCCCTTTAAAGGTTGGTCCATAATTAGTGGTTTTTTTGGCAACTTCTTGCTGTTCTTAGAGACTGTCTCATCGTTTGTTTTTCTGACTGGATCTTGTATTAGCATTTCAATTAATAAAGTTGGTATTTTATAAAAATGTGCGAGTGCATACTGCTGATAAAGCATCCCATGTGCTGGGTTGCATGATATCTACATCTGAGGGATACCATTATATTTTGGCTTCAAACAGTTAAAATGTTAGAATTACTTGAATCTGTTTGATCCGTGGAAATTTCTAACTGCATTTGATGGTGATCTCACTGCTTAAACTACCAGGTGTTCCTGCTTCAGTGCAAGTTGAGAGTCTCCACTGTCTTTCTTATCTTTGTTCTCAGTCAGAAGAAGGTTTGCGCGTTCAACTCTTCGCTGAATTTCCTTCAATACTCGTCCCACTAGCCAGTGATGACAAGGTAATAAATCCATTATTTTCTTTTCGTTCTATGGTTACAGATAATGCTTCTAAGCAGCATAAATTTTAAACAGTTTACCAAGATTGTCTGACATTAGCGTAGCCCCTACTCTTCAAAATCTTCATTCTTTTGACAGTGAGCATTTGACATATTGTGATTCATTCTCATTCTTCTCCCTTCAAAACATGAATTTGATATGTTTCAAAGTATTGACCTAAGGAGACAAAAGATTCTCATCCTGAAATAAAACCAAAACCATAGTTCATATCCACCCAAGCCTAAAGAAGGCCATTCAATAAAACATACCAAAATACAGGGCATAAAATCAATAAAATCCACAAAATATCTCTATCACCAGATTTTCACCATTCCAAGCCTAGCTTTTGTTTCATTCCACGTTTTGGTTTCATTGATGCCATTTGCTGCTATCCACTTTTCCAGGATACCAGGATTGTGGCCATGAACTGCATTGAAGGGCTACTTTCATTACTGGATCATGCGAACTTTTCTTGCAAGAAAAATGGTTATTTTCTATATTGGATTAATTTACAAGCTTGTATTTGCATTTTATCTTTAATTTACTTAATTTCGTCTATTAAATGGCAGGAAACAACGCAATATGGAATCACTTTCTAGATAAACTTCTGGGTCTGATGGTTGAGCAAAAAAGACTCATATTATCTGACATAAACTTTCTCCCTTCCTTTCTAGCATCTTTGCTTGGTTCATCCTCAGACACCTTAATAGTTCCTCAGAGACTTGATCAGAGGTGTGAATCTAGTACTTTACCTCTATTTAATTTCAGTTCAATACAAAATTGTGCTTTCAATAGAATTTGATCTTTTCTTTGACATAACTATACGTATGATGTAAGTGGTGTGCAAGTATGCATGATCATTGCCAAGGTCTCTTCCTTTTGAAGTGACATTTGTTCAATATATCGACAATGTTCAGAATGCGAAGTTGCCAAAGAACATGCTCATGGTTTATTGTAATTAGATCTCCAATTGCAATGTCGCTTTTCTTGTAGTCAAGTCTCTCTCTCCCCGCCATTTTTTTTCCAACTAGTACAATCATAGAGTGTGAGCTGAGAGATTTTAGGGGTCAACGCTCTGTGGGGTTCAACACTCATTTTAAAGAGAGAGACTTGACGAGTGTTTTTGAGTAAGGTGAGCTGAAAGATTACTGCCTTCACGACAATTTCCTCTGTATATTTTCAATGGTTTAGACAGAGTTTCCAGTAATACGTTGGTGAGTAGAATTATTCCTCTCTCTTCTCTGTATTTTGTTTGATTGGGGCACCTTTAGCAAGGGGATAGGGTTGTGCAATCCCTTGGCAATAGAGTGGATGTGGGACAAAAAGGCTTATTACGCTGCAAGGTTGGCTAGGTTTCACAAGTGCGGGGGAGCTTTTTCTGGTTTAGTTCAATGTCTTTCTTCACATCTCTAAGTCCAAGCGAGGGATCATTGCACAAGACAAGATGTTTTTTTTGTACAATTATATTGGGAGGTTTTCTATTTATATTTTCATTTTGTTTGTTCTGTTAGTCGGGTGCTAGGGTATGCTCCTAGCGGAAAATTCGAAATAGAAAATCTATATCCAAGAAAGGTATAACCATTGGAATAATAGTTTCCTGTTTTATACCTTTCACCTTAACTTTTCAAATATTAATGAAAATTGGTTTCTTGTTTAAAAAAGTAAACAAGATTCTACAGTATAGCTTACTGGATGACAAATTCATTAGAGGTGAAAGGTTGTTGAAAAAATGGATGTGAAAGTGAAGTATAAAGCATTCCCTTGAACCTTAATCAAAAGAATGAGAATAATGCTCAAATTTCTTATCATATCCCTAACCTCTGTACCTTGTATAAAAAAAGGCCCTAAGGCACTTTAATTGGCACAAATAGATGATGAAGTAGAATAAATTATGAATTGATTTTGAAAGGGCAATCCACTGTGATAATTTAGTAAATGGATTCAGGTATGGTGATGTTTTTGGTTCTTGACGAGCTTTTTTGACTGGACCTTTTTGCACTGGTCCCTTGTGACTTGACAATTGGGGAGTTTTTTCCTAATGTTTTGGCCGTTTATTTGGAGCATGTCGCATTCTTTGCCTGTTATTTTTAATTCCAGTGAAATTTTCATACTGAACTTTTCTCACGCTGGATTGTTGTTCAATTATTTTGTATAAGAAACAAAAACCGAACAACTGAAATTAGTTTGTTGAAAATCACTTGCTAACCTATTGAAATACCTTTTCAGGTTTGATAAAGCTACAAAAGAAATGATTCTGGCTTTCATTTTGGGTTATGCTTTACAGCTTTCTGATTATGGGAAGGTTTGGCCTGCCTGTCCTTTTTCAATATTCCGTAGTATATTATTATGGTCCTCAGATTTCTTGGGTGATTGGTAAAAAAATGATTTATAGACAATGTAGGATGTTTGTAGTTTTAACTTTTGATTTCCTTCAATTATTTTAATGTCTGGAATTTTAAGACTTGGATGCCATTATTTTTCCAGCTGAGAATCCTTTCTCTGTTCAAATCGATGGGAAATGCTATTCTGCACGTTAAGGAAGTTGAGGCTCTGTTATCTCTTCTTTTGGAGAGACGCAATAGATATCATCTTGAACTTGACAGGTCCATTCATAACTTGTCATCAATTGAAGTTTCCATCTTATGTCTTCTGCTTGAGGTGAGTTGATTGATACTCTAGATGCTTGTCTTGACTAAGTCTGTTACTTTCGTATAACAATTGCATTAATGAGAAATTTCATGGTCATTCTAGTGTTGTGCTACACCATCTTCTTTTGATTGGCACATTTCTGAAGGTTATTTGTTGAAGGCATTGCAAGTAAGAAACCTTTCAAAACTTGAGTTTCAGTTCTTTATCTTTGTTTTCTTCTTCTTTTCTTAATTTGTTTTCTTGGATTTAAAATATTCATAATAAAATGTTTGGTTGGTCGTTTTACTTCCCAGTTAAATGGTAGCAGTCCAAGTGAAGATGCAATTGTACGTCCTTCTTTAGCTATCTTGCAAAAGCTGGATTATCGAATATATAGCATGATGGAGAATGAAATGCAGGTTATCTTCACCTCTGAACTTGAGTTGATATTTATTTATTGTAAAATGTTACATCTCTGCTTACTGTATGGTTCGGCTTATCTTGTGCAACCGACGTATTTTTATATGTTATGGTTTTATAATCTGAAAATCTACTACAGTCACCAACAAACATTTATTTTGTGAAGTACACAAATTTTAGGAACTGAACATTTCATTTCAAGGCATCTTATGACTAAAATTTCTTTTTCTGAACCAAGATACAAGCAATTGTTAAACATGGAATGTTTATGGTTTTAATACGAAACATTTTTTTAGAAATAATACAAAACATTTGTTTTAGAAATAATACAAAACATTTTTTTTAGAAATAATACAAAACATTTATTCAGAAATAGTACAAAACATTTTTTCAGAAATAATACAAAACATTTTTTTAGAAATAATACAAAATATTTTAGTACATCAAATTGATAGCCTCTTAGTCTGGCCTCGCAAATACTTTTGAATGTATCAAGTTATATTTTTTCCTCATAAAAATGGAAATGAGAGAATAAAAAATAAAAAAGGATTGTTCCAAGAACAGAAGATATGGCAAGAGTAGCAACATTTGTCCTAGCCTCTAGACATTTTCTTGAACAAGATAGAATAGCCTCTTGACGTTTCCCCTTCTTCCTCTTATTTATTTGTTGAATATTAATAACCTTGTACATGAGCTGATTGGACTGAGAGGCCGTGATTTATGTGTTTTCCTAAAATGATAAACTTGTCCGGCTTTAATTAGACTAGCATGGTGCTGCCGTGATGTATCCTTTTATAAATTTTCAAAGAGTGTGCTACCATAAGTCTTCACATTCTTCTTTTTGGGCGGCAGGTGCATCAAAATTTGTTTATGTTGATAGTGTATTTGCAATAAAGTTCGTAGGAATGACAATTGTAACTGATGAAAGTAATTCACCATTCAGCTGATTGAAGCCATATATATTTTTTTTTGTTCTTTTATGTCTAGAGAAGATATTCGATTCTTTTTCTTTTCTTGATAAGAAGACATTTCACTAATATTTGAAATTTACAAATAAGAAAACAAAAAAGACAATAATCCATGGGGTCACAAAAGGCTTCCCAATTTTCTAGAAGGGAAGCATAGAAATTCAATTATTTAGTTGCAGCAACTGATAACTATACTCTTCTTCAGCTGCTAACTAAAATTTTCTATCTTCATTTTGGATGCAGGAATTGCTGTTTTCAAAACTTGTTTTGTTATCTCAAGATGCTGACAATAATGTTCAAACTGCCACCCGAGAAGCCTTGATGCGTCTACATGTTAGTTACTGTATATTTTAATTTGTTGTTTTTTTTGTGATAGCATTAAGCATGATCTATCCTGAAAATTATTGCTTTTGCCTTTTAGATTTTCAGCTCATTCTACTTAGTTAATTTGAATTAAAGTTGCCGATAGTGTAGTTACTAGGTAACACTCTTGTTTACGTTTTACCTGTTCATATAGGACCTTGGGACGTTTTCCATGACTAAAAAATCAACTCTATATATTTTGTCAAAATCATTTTGAATTTATTTAAGTTTTACTTCTAGTCTACGAATTCTCTTTGGACGATATGTTTAATTAAATTCTCAAATCCTATTAATTAGAAAAATTAATTCATCCTTTTAAGAGGAGAGCTTTGTAATAACAATTTTTTGGTATCATAAAGAATCAATCCATCCTTTTTTAGGGGACAATGTGCTTAAAGTCTACAATTATTAAAAGTAAGATTGGTTTTATTTTTTCATCTGTTCAAATGCAAAATTTGCATTAGTAGTTAATGTTTACAGCTGTGTGTTTCTTCCTGCATTTTAGTATCATTCTCATTGCTCACTCTCTTAAAAAAAAAAGAAAAAAAAAAAAGAATAGAGAGAGATAGGAAAATGACCTAGTTCTTCAATGCAAGAGGAAAAATTAGAGATTACCTCTTATTTTGTTATTTTTCTTATAGGAGTTTTTTTTTCCCTTATAGGAGTTTTGTTTGGTAATTAATGTTGATTTACCTGTTTTTTCCTTCGTTTTGGTATAATTTTTATTGCTTACTCTTTTCGTTTGTGGTACTGAATGCTGTTTCTGAGTCAAGGTGAAAACCGACATATTTAGAATCACGTACTTCAAATTTGCATTCTACAAGTCATGCATCAATGCAAACAGCACGAGAAGCTTATGCATTTGTTGTCTCTTTTTCCTCATTTATCAATCTTACATTATTTTTTAAAAATGCACTTTAGATACAAACTGATGGTATTGCAGCAGAGGGAATTTAATGTTGTTTCATATTGAATATTGTAGATTACTACCTCCACCATCAGCCAGATGCTGAGTTACATGTTGAAATGTGAAGGTTTTGTTGGCAGTTTGGTGGATAGGAAGAAGAAAAAGAAATCCCTCGAGTATCATGCATCCAACTCGCCCTATGATATGATTTGTAGAAAAGAGAACACATTCTCTTTTTTAAGCTCTGTTCTTGATATTTTGCTACTGAAGAAGGACATGGCTAACAGGTGTTTTAATTTATTTTATTAGATCATACGTTTTCTTTATTGAAGTACCTCTGCTTACAGCAATCTTGAAGTTCAGATCAGTGTTTTTTTTTTTAAAGTCACACTATATAAAAAAAAAATACATATACACAATAACGAAACCTTCATAGGAAGAAATGAAGTTTTAACGAAGAAAAATATGTAAAGGTAAATAAGTTCAAATATTAGTCTAGAGTCAATACTCTATAGAAAAACATGAAACCATACAACACCACTAAAAATAAGAATCTTTCAATATCAAATTTATTATCACTAAATAGGTCATCAACCTTGTTCTCTTCATCATTGGACTTTTAGCCATCTGTATCTTCTTATTATGTCTTTGAATCATCCAAATTTACTGGTGTGAGTGTGGGTCGTGGGTCTCATGGTGGTGGCTGTGTGAAGGATGAACGTGGAGGTTTAGTCTTGGTTCTTGATGTAGCTCTAGAATAATAGACAAGTTCTTTTGCTCTAGCAACTCTTGAAACATTGCCCCATGTTAGGGAATCATCATTCTCTTCAATATCCTTTAAAAATTGTAAAAATTCTAAATGCAGAAGCCCTTGCATTGAGGGATTTTATAATTTTTTCTAATAACTAACCTAAATGCGCCGTTTGTTTCATTTTTTTTATATAAAAAAAATTCAATAAACCCTTGAGGCGTGCTGAGTATGTGCCTCAAGGGCTTCATGGAAGGCATGTGCCTTGGCCGTGCCTTCCTACCAGCATCTCACTTCTTCAAGGCAAGGCATATCACATGCGATTTGTGCATAGGTGTGCCTTGGTGTGCCTTTTAAAACGCTGGTTTGGGTTCAATATTTGTTAGTCATTCCCTTATAATTTTCACATTCATGATTGTGTTGCAGGCAATCCCTTATAGGCCAATTATTTATGCTGCTTGGAAAAGTATTTTCTAAGGATTGGGGCAATGCTGCTCTTGCACTTGATGAGCAGTCAAACCATGCAGTATCTAGCGTTTCTCAGGGCATATCTGATGCAATAGGCTACATAAGGCAGACAATCTTAATAGTTCTTGAAGATATCTGTTCATCAGTTGCAACTACTACCCCACAAGAGGTGCATCTAAATTTTGACAGTCAGTAGTTGTACCTGCAATTCAGTTATCTGCCTTCCTGTTAGTGATTTTTTTTTTTATTATTATTATTATTTTTTTTTTGTCTTTGCAGATTCAGTGGAGAAAAGACATCGATATCAAATTGTTGATTGATTGTACTCATTTATCAAAGGATGGAGTTACCCGTAACCATGTGTATTCGTTAATTTCCTCTGTGGCAAAATCTATCCCAGAAAAAGTTGTGGAGAATATGCTGGATATTCTTACTCTCATTGGCGAATCTGCTGTCAGACAGGTGATAAACCTGTGTTCCTGAAACTATGTTTTATTTATTTATTTAGTAATAATATTAATGTGTTGACTTTTGGTTTTTGTTTGATGGAGGGTTTGAGGGTTTGATGATTAGAGATTTCACTTTAGATAGTTTCATTCTCCTATGTTTGGTTTTTTTAACCTCAAGGTGCCCAAGTGGCAAGTTACAGATGTGTTTCAAGTTTCCATGTAGTTGGCCTCGGACAAAGCCTCCTCGAGGATTAGTGGGATGGACCATGAACATAATGCAAATATCCTCACTATATAGAGAGAGACTTTTGAGTATTGAATTTCCTCTCCTGATAATCTTTATTTTTCTTAATGATTTATTAAATCTTTTTTTAACAATTTAAAAATGCTTTTCAAGTTTTTATAGTATTTGGTAGAATGGTATTAGGATTTACATAAGTTTTTAAAGCACTTAATCTACTTTTAAAGAAAATATACCAATTTTTTTTTGCCTTCCAAAAGTGCCACATGGAAGAAGTTATCTCCATTAAATTTACCACTCTGAAATGCATATTCGAATTTTAGACAAGTAATGTTGAAGAAAAGTCGAACACAGTTATAATGATTAAGAGAGAAGCGTAAGTCTGGTCTAGTGGCTTCCGAGGTCTAAGTTTGGAAAGAAAAAAACGGGGAAAAGGACGGGATTGGCATTCCTATGAGGAGAAGAACCTATGATTAGCTTTCTAGGTTGTTTCCTAGTCAGATGTTATACATTTTGTTATCTGTCTGTAGGTTGATAGCCATTCAGAGCGTGTACTTGAGGATCTCATTGCTGCTGTTGTTCCATGTTGGCTGTCGAAAACTGAGAACATGGATAAATTGCTTGAGGTAATTCTTGATTTTTGTCATGCAAGTCTATCATTAAGATTGAAGGCGTGCTTCTTTTAATCTGTGAGCTTGTGGCCGTTTGTACTCCAGACTTTCATTAGCATACTGCCTGAGATTGCTGAAGATAGAATGTTAAAAATATTCCATTACTTGTTAAGGTACTCTTTTATTATTGATTTTTCTCATTAATATCTCTTCAATTTTCTACCATTCTAACTGACCAGCCTATTTGCAGGATTGTTGGGGAATGGAAGGGCTTGGCTTCGTTGCTTTTGCATCTCTTTAAGTCACTGGTTTCGAAGTTACCTTCCTCTGAAGATTTGCATGGTCTGGATGGTTTCATGTCTTTTGTACACAGAGAACAGGAGTATGTGTTTGCATTGCATATTTGTGAAAAGTATTCATGCTCGACTTGGCTTCGTGCTCTTGCTACAATGTTTAAACACATGGGTCTGGACGACTTTTGTGTGGAATCACTAAAGCAGTTGTTTCTGGCAACAAACTTTTGTCTAGACAAATTGCAAGGTCCAGAATTTGCTTTCAGATTAGCATCACAAGAAAACTCGGATGACATACAGGTAGAAAATTTATGAGTTTCCGCACTTATGTCTTTTTCCTCCTAATCTCATGGTTACCAGTAATCTTGTATCAGCCATGACTTCTGCATGCTAACATTAGATTGGTTTAGCGTTGTGCCTCTCACATAATGAATCTAACATGCATAGCATGCTTTACTTTTCTCTGCCATCTCAATGATACAATTCTCTTGAAAAATTTTCCTTCACTTGATTTGATCTTCCCTCTAATTTTGATCTTTCCTTGTAAAATTAAGGTGCCAATGGCTGTTAGTTGGCAGTTACATCTGACTTGGTTGATATTTTTGTATCTTGGGATTGAGAAAGTTGAGCCTTGTTTGGGTATGTAAGTTTGTTTACCACTTGCTATGAGGTTACTAATCCCGAGGGCTACCTAAACAAAACTTGTGAAACCTATCATTTTTTGGTTCCGTAAACCTATAGATCATCAAATATATGATATGGAATTTGAGATTTGTATAACCCATTTTATTGTACAATCACACCAAACTCAGGTTTTTCACCGTTAGGTTTCATAAAGACAAACTTGTTTGAATGTGGAACAAGTATGACATGTATATATTTCTTTGCATCACTGTACATAAACTGTAAAATATGAAGCAAGTTACCTAGTAGGTCTTTCCAATGAAATATCGTCGTCGTTCCTTTTAATTCCTTAATACTGGTATTTGGTAGCTTTTTATATCATATTGGAGGTATGATAAGGTTTGGATTTCTTTTTAAAATATTAACGTCCATAATTTGGCATTGTATAAATTTTAGGTTAAATTATTAGTCTTCAGTTTTGCATTATGTCTAGTCTCTTTTTTTTCTCCAATCAGTCCAAATTAGTAATTCATTTCTAGTTAATTATCTTCATCCATAGACACAGTAAAGCGCTGGTATAGACAGAACTAAAAAAGTCGGTCAAATTTTTCGTTCAAGAGGAATTGGTGTGGAGGGTTAACAATGGAAAAAAATACGTAGTTCGATGACTGGGCTTGCTGTTTAGTCTGTGTTTTTGAAATTGTGGTGCTTGACCTCACTGAAAAGGCAACTTTATGGGTTTCAAATATTCACTTGCTAGTAGACGGCATAATTTTTCTCTGTTTCTATAACGAGCAAATTTTCTTTTGCAGAGCATTCTTGGAGAACTACTGGAGCAGGTTGTTTATCAAGTTCAACTTGTTGATACAAGAAGCCAGGAAATTGGTATTCCGGTGGCAATCAGGAAGGAAATAAGAGAGAATATGCACGCTATTTTGAGGAGTATCACTAGGGTTATGAGTCCTTCAGCCTTCTTCAGAAGTACCATGAATTTGCTTGGCCATAATAATAGAAATGTTGGGAAAAAGGTACATAAACTAATCTTGTTATGTTTTTTTTGTATTCTTTCATTGATCTCAGTAGAAGTTTTTTCTTCTTTCTTCTTCTTTAAAATATATTTTTATAAATAATTCATTCATTTATTTTAAGGTTGACATGCGTTGGTGATTATTCAGTAGCTTATTTTATGTCAATTACACCCATGTAGCACAATAATACCCAAAATACAACACGCCTAACCCATAATAATAATAATATAATAATAATAAGGTTAAATTACAATTTTGGTCTCACACAATTTTGTCTCTCGCAGTTTGTAGAAAATTAGAATTTAGTCCCTCCGATTCTAATTGTTGGAATTAGTCTTATGGTTTGATAAAACCTAAGGACTATTTATGAGAGCTTTATCAAATCATAGGGAGTGTGGATTTATCAAATTGTAAGGATAAAATTCTAAGTTTTAAAACCTCATGCACCAAATAATAATAATAATAATAATTTGGTAGATATTAAGTATATTTATATGAAGTGCATTTCATGACTGAAGTTTTTGTTTGATCTGGCATGCTAATGCATTTTCTTGTTTTTTTGTGTAAATATAACATTTCTTTATAACGTAGCTCATAAATTTCACATATGATCTTACACCCTCTTGCAGGCTCTCAGTCTTCTATGTGAAACAGTTAAAGAACACAGCGGGATAAAGTCAAAGAAGAGGACCAAGAAAGAGAAAATTTCTGGAAGTCCCTGGCTTCACATGGATGATAGCTTTCTCAAATTATTTGACAGTATATCTTTGAGAATTGTTCACTTAATTGATGATTCTACTAATGCTTCTGATAGTTCTCTCAAAGTAGCCGCAGTTTCAGCTATAGAAATTCTGGCCAGTGCATTTCCTTCTTACCATTCAACTATCAGTGTTTGGCTAGCGTCAATTGGAAAATATATTACCTCAAACAACTTAACTCTCTCTTCTAGCTGCCTTCGAACATGCGGCACACTGATTAATGTACTGGGGCCAAGATCATTGAGTGAGCTGCCCAATATAATGGGAAAGGTAATAAATGTGTCTCGAAGTTGTGTCGTTGAGAATACAAGAGGCAGTTCTGAAATATCAGTTCAATCATCAGACTTGAGGGATTCTGTTATGCTTTCTGTTGCTATAACTTTGGAGGCTGTTGTAGAGAAACTTGGTGGATTTCTAAATCCTTATCTTGGAGATATGTTAGAACTTTTAGTGCTTCATCCTAACTTAGTATGGGGAGCAGATTCAAAGCTGAAGTTGAAAGCTGACTTTATACGGAACCTTCTGACAGAGAAAATTCATGTAAGTGTTGTAATTTGTCAAGGTGATAGGTATTCCACATATAATTGTTCTTGTTTCATATATCTGATTATGGCCAAATCTATTTCTAGGTTCGTCTTGTGTTGCCACCTTTGTTGAAATTTTTTACTCGTGCTGTTGAATCTGGAGATTCAAGCTTGATCATCACCTTCAACTTGCTAGCAAATATTGTTGGAAAAATGGATAGGTCTTCAGTTACTGCTTACCACACACAGATTTTTGACCTGTGCTTGTGTGCCCTTGATTTACGCCGCCAGCAACCTGTTTCTGTCACAAGCATTGACGCTGTAGAAAATAGTGTCATGAGTGCATTGAGTTTACTGACACTTAAGCTTACTGAAAGCATGTTTAAACCTTTATTCATAAGAAGTATTGAGTGGGCAGATTCAGATTTAGAAGATGCTGCAGGTGCTGGAAGCAAAAGTGTTGACAGGGCCATATCTTTCTATGGCCTAGTAAACAAACTTGCTGAGAAACATAGGTATGTGTGGACTCCTTACAAAAATTTTAGTTTAGTGTTTAAGAGGTCTTTAGAGCAACTCGATCTCTGTGATTAAGTAAATTTTTGTTTCGAGGTTTATGTCTGCAGTGTGTTGCTTCAAGCCCTCAGTCTCCATGTGTTGCGCTTACTCAAAAATTGAAAAGTTTTCTCCTTAATCGGTTAAAAACATTTTTGCTATTTAGTATTTATTTATTGCTCAAGAGTGGCGTGTTTCAGACAAAATATGAACAGTTACTCTTGGGGACGGTTAGATAGTCTATCTAATACATGTGTGGATTTCCTACCTTTTTATTGGCGTTTTGTCAAAAAGATGAGCATTTGAGTTTCCTTGACATTACCAACCCACTTTTTGACAAACAAACTTTTCTTCATTCGATATTTCAAACTAGTTTTTATCTTATTTACCAATATCTGTAGTTTGATCTCTTCACTTACTGTTTTGGCGAGGAGGTACTTTATGCACTGTCAGAATTACTACATGCAATCTAGTTTGATGCTTCGTGCATTCTCTTGTTTTAAGGCAATTACTTGAAGAATATATTTTGAACTTTTGGTTCTTTATTTACTCGAGTAACTATAATCTTGCTTTTTTGGTCTTTTCTATGGGAATGAGGGGTTCGTGTTATATACAAAGTACCCTGGTAATTGATATCAATTCTTGTGGCTGTTCCACTCAATTTAGGTCACTTTTCGTCCCCTACTTCAAGTACTTGCTAGATGGATGTGTCCATCACCTTACAAATTCTGGAGATGCAAAGTATACTGGTTCAATACCGAAAAGGAAGAAAGCTAAGGTGCACGTGAGCGGCGATAGTAAAGAGGAAACTGCAGTGGTATCTCTTAAAAGCTGGCATATAAGAGCATTGGTCTTGTCATCATTGCATAAGTGCTTTCTCTATGACACTGGGAGCTTGAAATTCCTTGACTCCTCAAATTTTCAGGTTAATGGATCTTGCCTCTCACTTGTTACGAACATAACTGATCTTTTTCAACCGACATTTGATGTAACAGTTGTTATGTTGCTGTCTAGGTTGTCTTCCTTGGTCTCTGGTTGTTATTAGTTTATTTACCTTCCTAATGATTTTGGGTCATGTTCTTTACAGGTTCTACTCAAGCCCATAGTTTCACAGATGGCATCTGAGCCACCAGAAATGCTTGACGAGAACATTAATGTTCCGTCTGTAAACGAGGTTGATGACGTTCTGGTGAACTGCATTGGTCAAATGGCCGTGGCTACTGGGAGCGATTCGTTATGGAAACACTTAAACCACGAGGTAAAAAACATTTCTTTAGTATATAGTCTTCTTTTTTCTTTTTCTTTTTTTTTTTTTTTCTTTTTCTTTTTTTTTTTTT